AGGTGAAAAGCAACCTTTGCCATTGCCCGATTCCCTCAAGCAACACAGCCCACCTGAACTGGGGGGAGGGGGTGGGAGTGGAACGATGCTGTAGAGGTGAAAGGCTCTATCGCCATTCCCTAGTCCCAAGCCAGCTGCTTCTCCCCAGCCTCAGGAGACTGTAAGCAGTGCCATAGAGGTGAAAGGCTCCAAACAGCCCTGAGCCAGTCAGTCTTCCTGCTGGCACTTCCCTCCCTGACCGCAGTATCCGTCTGTAAAAGTATTCCTGTTCCAGCCCACAAACAGCACAGCTTCTCAGCTCTTACCAGGTGCTTCCTTCCTCATCACTGTTCCCAAAGGAACTGAAGGACCCATCCCAGCGTTTGTAGACCAGCTGCCTCTGGTACCCTGGAGCCAAAACACAGAGGACATACGCTCAGTGGACCTTTTATTGCTTTGATACATTGAAGCTGAAGAGCTTTGCATTGAATAATGAACACAGTTTGGGTGACTGATCTCACTGGCTAATTGTTTGTGCCCGGCAATGTACCATCACACACACATCACTGAGGCTATCTGAATCCATTGTTTTAGTTGGGGTTGGTCCAGCTTTGGGCAGGGGGCTGGACTCAATGACTCCAGAGATCTCTTCCAGCTCTAGGATTCTATCTAAAGTCATCAGTTACTATTGCATGTACACTGGGACTAGAATGGCACTTTAGCACACACAGCCACAGGATTAGATGAAGGAATCTTAGTATTTCTCACCGCTGACTAAGTAGCCAATGCCTTTGAGTTTGGTCTCCTCGCTCAGCTGTCCCGTCTTATTCAGATAGTCCAGGATGTAGATGTTGGGGGCAAACAGGGCCATGTTCTGCTCCCCGCAGCCATAGGGCATCCGGAGGAGATTCTCCAGGTTCCTCATGGCCATGCCCAGGAGATCCCCTGAGCAACAGAAGACAGAGGGAGTGAGTGGAACTCTTAGCTAGTATTTAACACGTTACATGATACAGTTTTATTCCCCCAAATTATGCATTTGCAGAGGAAGACAGAGAAGTTTCAGTGAAGAACACAAAGGTTGGGTGAAAAAGGAGAAATCCCCACATCTCTCCACATGGGTAGCTTCTTCGGCCATTTATTTTTACAATACAGAGCTGCAGACAAATGAGACAAATAAGAAAGATCTAAGGAAATGGTAATCAAAGTAGTGCTAAGAAATAGCCGTTATCCTTTTAACAAACAGGTTCCATTCTAGGA